GGTTAATTTGGCATGTAATGACACTCCATGGCCATAGCTTAAGCAGTTAGTTGCTGGCTTCTCACATTAGAGGCCTAGATTTGCAACTTGAGCAGTCCATCTGGGATTTGTGGTGGACAAAGTGATACTGGGATAGGATTTTCTATGAGTTCTTTGGTTTCCCCGTCAATATCATTTGACCACCATTCCACATTCACTCATCATCTGGAGGCTACACAATGGGACCAGTAGAGGCCACAGTTCAATAGAGACAATATCCCCCTCCCCACAGCAACAAAAACCCTCCATCATAAAATAATATTAACGACGCAACTAGACCAAAGGCATAATCATGTATCTCAAAATACTTTAACTGAATTGGCATCACGACTTACATGCAGACAAACTGGCCATGTATCACATTAGCGTACTGCTAAACTGTTAGAGCCTAGAGTTAAATGTCTGGCCAGCTGCCATCTCCTATGGGGGTTTAAATCCCATATCCCAATACAATAAATGTTAAAACATAATACAAAACACATAAAAGCAACAGCTTTCTTAAACTATTCCTCTTATAGTGTATAATAACGTAGAGCTGTGAACAGGTGTAATAAACTGTCACAGCCAACATTTCACTATGCATATGCAATCAAGAACAGGCCCAGAGCAGCAGCGCACTGTAATGCGCAACACGATGCTGCAAATGAACACTGCGAAAACAAGTCACAGTAATCAGCAACAAGCAATATCCAAGCAATCTCTCTAAAAATATACTGCAATTCAGAAAAAACTCTTTACACACAACCCTCCATAAACAACTCGTATTTAAATGAATACAGAAGAATCAGAAACCACTGTTCCACCAGGGTTGTCTACCAAATTTACTTGTTTCCTTCCCTTATTACAAGCCATGAGAGGAACTACCAACCCCAATTTGAATACTGTAATTTCTTTTGTTCTATTAATATATACAAAATACAAAATCCACGGCAAAGTCCGTAATCCTTCCTTTCTTTGTAGCAGGTACTATCACACTTCAAATTTATCACATAAAACCTAGCAATATTTTAACCTTTCAAATAAATAAATCACCATGTGGTGGAAAATTATACAGATTTTTTTTTATTTTCATTATGGGTAAGTCGACTTTGTGCCACCTATAAAATTCCACGCAACTCTGAAAATAAGGTGTTCCCACGTGTGTATGTCACTAATATACTTTAAATTACTAATGCACGCAGGACATACATCTACAACACACTCAGATTGTATGAAAATTCACTAACACTTAACAGAGATAATTTCTTAATTCCTAACCTGTCACCAAATTCATATTTTACCTTAATTTTTATTATTCTACTGCTTTTGTGTTAAAACAGTCTTTCCAACCTACAAACATCTGTCATACTGCATTAAGTTACTTGCCAATCCAGTTCATATCCTCTTGCATTTACATAATAGAACAGAATGTAATTTATTTACATTTCATAGATCATTCATAGGCCCAAGCCAAGAATGCAGAACATGTCACAGCACAAATACAATACTTGTTTCTAACACAAGTGTAAATTACATTGTTATGACAGTAATTTACACACAACTACAGATTACCACAAAAATAATTGCACAAGAAAGCATGCCCACTATTGCTTATTGCTGAGAATTTTTGGTTCAGGTAAATTCTTCTATGAAGTATTAGCAAGATAGGCAATACCCTTTTAGTGCTGGATTAAACTTCATTATATTGTGATTTACTTGTTAAAGTGGAGTAAAGATTTCTGAGTAGCTTAATTCCAGTATACTAGACTCCTTTCTGATATCTATTGAGTTTAGTGTTTGGCACATGAAGGTTGTATCCGTATCTTGAAGAAACCTACGTTTGTTTGGAATTCTTCTATGTATATTAAAATTCTTACACAGTGCCCTACATGAGGCTCTCCTTTTAGTGTCTACATAATTCTAATGATTTTCTTTTGGGCATAAAATACTTTCTTTCTTCCTGTTGACTTTTCCCAGAAAAATTCCACATGACATAATCGAATGAAAGTATGCAAAGTAGACCAATTTTAAAGTTTATTTTTTCATGAATGATGTGACTGTCCTAACAGCAAAGCATGTTGAGCTTAGTTTGGGAAGAATGTATTCAATACATATTTTCCAATGTAGGTTAGTCTCAATTTGCAGGCCAAGAAATTTAGTTACTTCTACTCTTCAATTTATTCTCATACTCTACACCTAGATTAACACATTCTTTTATTAGCACAAAATTTCATGAAATATATTTTTTGAATGAGTTTATTTGCTTTAATTGATTTGTTCAAGCCAACAAAGACATCATTCATGCAAATACAGATAAAGTCAGTTCCTGGATGTAAAACAATATCAATATCATTCAAAAACGAATGGGTTTAGACTGAGAATTAATGGATGGTGGTAAATCACTGATATATATGAGGTAAAGCATAGGACCAAGTATTGAACCTTGAGGGACTCCATGTTTTTTAATGCCACAATTTTAATACATGCTATTATTTAAATCTGGTGACTTTATTTCCATCTGTTGCCTTCTACAGGTATGATTTAAACTGCTGACTAACTATATTTCAAATTCCATAAAAATATAGTTTTAACAGTAATAATTGAAGAAATAATCTTCCAGCAGTTACCTAAAGTGGTGGAGACTCCCATGTAATGAAAAGTTATGTCATGTGAGTAAAATTGTAGAATGGGGATCCACTGTCAGTTCATTTGCCAGACTTAGAAATAAAATAAAACAATATTAAAATTTTGCAATAGTTTTTTTTAATAAATTCATGAGAGCACGAACGACATTTTGCAACATTTCTAAGATGCAATTGAATGATTTTCTGCGAGTCAAACATAATCTCCATGTTTCAGAATTCTATGAAAAGCTAAATTAAAATATCACTAACAAAGCCTAGCAATCAAATCATAAATTAAAATTCTTGCATTAAAATTGCATACTCAAATAATACTAGATACAAATACCTTTCCTTCAACTACTGTAGATACAAACTAACCTCATCAAGTCCAAGTTCATGTTGGTACAAATGTTATGAACTGAAATGGCATGGATAAATGTATGAAACCTGTTGAATTTATCACAAAACCTAACACTCACCTCATCCTGTTTGTTTGTGACCGAGTTGATTCATCACCTTCTCTATTTTTGTTGCCTTTTCCTTTTGTATTTCGGTTACGTTTCTTCTTTGCCTGAATAGCAAGAACTGTAAAATGAAAAACGTACAAAGCCAAAACTCATTTCCACAATTTTAATGTTAGAGGAAATAACTCGGTGTTGAATTACAGTCTACTTACCTCGCCGATTCACATCATTTTTTCTAGCAGTGTTCATAACTACTACAATGCCTAAACACTTAATTTCACTTATTGTTCTACCACTACTACCATCACGACCGCACAACCTTCATACTGATATCCTTGTCACATTTGTGCACGGTGTGAAGTGAGTAACAATCTCAGCAACGCATGGGTACAAACATCTGGCACAGATAATATCAACATGTTATGCAAATACTGTCCTACCATCTATCCACAGCTAGGAAAGCTACTGGTTGTTTGCGTTGATATTAAGTAATACTGGTAGCCATTGCCTATGGATTGGATTCATCTGGCTCAGGATAGGGACCAGTGGCGGACTTTTGTGAACAAGGTAATGAACCTTCGGGTTCCATAAAATGTTGGGAAAAGCGACCGTCGGCTTCTCAGTAAAGACTCGGCTCCATAAAATAAGCCAGCCAATGTGTGGAGTTAAGTGGGCGAAGGCATGGAGTGCCCCCCCCCCTAGACATCAAGCCTGCGCCGTCATCCTGGTGATCTGCAATTTTTGCATGCGGAAAAAAGAAATTAAGTTCAACTGATGTCCTGGCCCAGAATACCAAATAGTTCTGAAGACAGCTGAGTAACCAGAGTGCTTTGGTAGCACAGTTAAGTAGAGAATGGTGAGATTTAAATGTTTTGAGTCTGTGTTGCTTTAATCATACTGTAATGCTCCGAGTTTGTTTGCAACCAGAAGTGGAGGGTTCTTGTAAACTGTATTAGCCTGGATTACATTTTGAAAATAATGAAAGGGTTGTGTCACACTTTCGTAGTCCAATAACACACCATACACTGGAGCACAGAGCCGATCATATAAAATGCATCGTTAGCCAGATAGTTGAGGATTACGCTTGCAACGAGCATAAAAACACCAACAACGCCTGGCCGGATGGAGCTGCATTTTACCTGAATCGTATTATTACCGTGCCTTTTTCAGATTTGTTGGAAATGTTATTTTCATTATGTTGGTATTCGATTTTACGCCGCATATCGTTTTACCGGCAGGTACCCACAAGTCTTCAAAGGTTGGTACGTTCATTTGTCGTCAAACCCATCTCCACATAATGACAATTTATTGAAAACATCCATATCTTACATAAGTTTAAAATGCTGATATAAGTTCGGTGACTGTGCGTTCTATTTCAAAATTTAAAATGCTGATGTAAGTTCGGTGACTGTGCGTTCTATTTCTATGATTCCCGACAGTAATTTTAAATCTATTGTGCTAAGATCAGATTACCAGAAATATTTTGTACACGAACACAATTTATTTTACAAACTTTGGAACAAAAATTGCCCTCTGCATATTTGGATTGAGTTCATAAAACAAATCTACACTTTAATGGTTGTTTTATTCTGAATATTAAAACAACAGTTACAAACTGTAGAATATCCATTCAACAGTAACTGTTCGAAATTAATTATTGGATGAACTAAACATTTAATACAAAAAAGAGACTTCATTATGAGGAATATTTTTTTAATGAATTTTGTTCTGTTTTAATACCTTTCCACTAGTCATTGTTCAATAACCCTTAACCCATAAAACATTTTTAATCATCAGCCAATATTTCATTAAATGATGTATAATTGCAATGTCTTTGTTCTAAAAAAAGCTAAGTAATCTTATAATACACTTCTTAAAGGTTGGCAGTTATGATTGAATTCCGTGAATACGCACGGCATTTGTTTTCAAACCGTCTTGGCTTCGTTCTGAAGTTACATTGAAAGTGTATTGACAAGTCTAGTTTTTTAATAAGCTATTTCAGTATGGATTATTATCAAGATTATCATGAAGACCCGAGAATTATTGCAGGAAATGGCCACGATAACCGAGGAACTGCAGGTATTCCTGGAAGAGACGATGACAGAAAATTATTTGTCGGCGGTCTGAGTCGGCAAACAACTGATAGAGAACTTAAGGAGCATTTTGGTAAATTTGGGGAGATTGAGAGCGTCACTGTGAAAGTTGACCCCTATACAGGTCAGTCTAGAGGCTTTGCTTTCATTGTATTTGCAAATCCCAAAACTATTGACAAATTATTAACATCTGGAGATCATTATATCAACAAAAGAAAAGTAGATCCCAAACGGGTATCAAAGAAGACACAGCATGGGAAAATATTTGTTGGTGGATTGACCCCAGATATCTCTGATGGAGATATTCGGAATTACTTCTCTCAGTATGGAACAATAGTGGAAGTGCAGGCACCCTTTGACAAGGTAAAGAACCAGAGGAAGGGATTCTGTTTTATCACATTTGATTCCAAAAATGTTGTTTACCAACTTCTGAAGTCTCCTAAGCAGTACATCAATGGTAAAGAGGTTGATGTAAAAAAGGTGAAGATTAACCCTGAAACAATGGGTATCGGAGGTCGAGGTGCATTAAGGGGTGATGCACGTGGCTGGGGAGCAGCCCATCCTTATGGTGGCTATGGCCATGAATATGGCACAGGGTATGGTGGTGCAGGTTATAACAGCTATGACTACGGTGTTCCATACAATGATTATTCTGGCTATGGCTACAGTAATACTGGTGGCAGTCAAGGATATGGGAACAAGCCAAGGGCAGGCAGTCGTCAGTTCCAGAGACATCAGCCATATTGAAGTTGGACACTTACGTCTTTTGCATATGTCAGTTTTTGCTCTATATATGTTTCTTATGTTGCACATTATATCAGCTTTCATCTGTTTTCATTTTATAAGTAATATTAATGTATTGAATGTAACAGTACCAATAACCTTCACACTGAGTGTTTTTAATTCTGGTATATAGCAGTCACCACTGTTTTATGTGGATTCAAGTGCAGTGTTGTGTGAAATTCATGAACAACTGATTTAATTAAAATTGTGTCATCATTATTTGAGTGAAAGTCATTAAATGCTTCAGGAATCTCTGCTTGAACATAATTGGGATCTTATCGCCAAGTAAGAAATTATTCTGAAGTTATTCTCTTGAAGTTTTAAAAGATGTGTAAGAAGGTTTCATTATACACTTGAAAAACTTCTTGGATTTTCTTCGTCCTTCTGTCTGTCTGTCTGAAGCTGTCTTTGTTAAATCAGATTCATTTTCTCATAGTGTTGGCAAGAATGTGTGAGATTGAATAACTATCTTACAAGTAAGTAACTTTGCGATGTACAAATTCCGGAATACAGTCGCCCCTCTCTGCAGTTTCTTCTTGACTGTCATAACTGAATTCCAGCAACATACAGAAGTACATATGAAAGCGTGAACACTACATGCAGGGTGGTCATACCTGTTAAAAATTTATTTTAACTTTAAATATCCACAGAAAATTGTAAAAGTGCAGAGTGTTCCACAGTTAGGGAATTTTGTAATAATATAAAATCATTAAAAGGAAGCACATTGGTTTCTGAACAGTTATGATATGCATCGCAAAGAACAGCTTTGATTGCTATTAACAAGCTAATTTGTATCGATCTGTTTCATATGAGTGTAATGAATTTTGTGACATTCAATGTCAGACTTTTTTCTAGTGTATATTTTCAATCCCAGAATGAAGTCAGTTGATCTTAGACTACATGATTAGACTCTCATATTTAATCTTGGAAGAGAGATGGACCAGGGAAGGACCCCAGTAGATGTGTAGTTTAAGTGTGCAGAAGAGACTAATGTCTAAATATTGTTTTCGTAGTGAATGGATATCATTTACGCAAGAAATCTGGGAATACCTTGGACAGATATAATTTAGAATTGATTGGGTTTTAATATCCCATGTTTGTGTTGAGGTGAAACTTAATCATTAATGGAATAGCACTCGTGAATATTGAATACAGTTTATAGGATGTAATATAGTTGCAGTAAGGGAAATAACAAACTTATAGTCAGATTGTTAATTGAAAGTTGTATTGTAATTGAATTATGTATTTTCTTGAAGTAGGTAATACATTTTTAAAGAAAGTGGCCCCCCCCCCATTATAATTTTTGTAGTTTGTTTACAAGAGTAGTAATTTTATAAAATGTCTCCAACATATAATTAGAAGTGGCTTTGCTGGTGAAGATATGGGTGTGGTTCAGAAGATTTGTGAAAAAATGGATGAGAGAAACATTTCACCACATACTTTTAAATCAGTTCTTTGAGAGTGTCCATCCTTTCATCAATGTGAAGTGTATTTTCAGTGGACGTTTGAAGCAGTTCCTTTATGGCGATGCTCTTTCAATCTCGGCAGTCTCGAGGAGTGCAGAGTAGTTACTTTTACTTTTGTTTTAAGTATTTTGTTATTCTTTGCGAATAACAAGTAGAATCATAGGGCAGCCTATTTTGTTTCATACAGTGATCGTGGACTTCCATGGACTGTACTTATTTTGTTTCCATAATATGGCCAGCAGTTCACCAGGTATGTAGATAATACCTTTGGTATTATGAAAACTAAGATATATTTTTTGTTTATTAGGATATAAAAATACATGTAGAACTGTACAAGCATGGAGTTTATGTTATATAAGGCTCCATTATAATTTCAACAAATTAGAAGCATTTTTACCATGTCAAAACTATTTGTTCTTTTCTGAAGAGGTTATGGGTATGGAGGAGAACTTTTTTTTTAATGAAAAGAAATACTTGACTGTAACAGTGCACTTTCCTGTGCATAATTCCAAACTCCACGGATGGCAAACGAAATGGTCGACTGATCCAAAATCTTTTGAACCTGTCATCAATGTACAAGTTAACAGACTCTTATTAATTAACATTAAAGATGGGAGTTTTGGCAGTGTGTTACTGCTGTCTCACATATGACACTGAAATAAAGTTTGTATATCTTATAGATACTTTTTTTAATTGTACTTTGGAAGAACATTCGATGCTGGAACAAAAATTTGAGTGTTAAAAGCTGTTCAGTTTGCAGGACTTTTTTCCTGCACTCCATTAAATATTATTTTCTTGTTCTGTCTTGTATGAGCATCTATACTGCAGTAAACGAACTACCTGAAGTACAAGATGTCGTACAATTGTACTGCACAATACATAATGTTTCCAAATGTGTAATCTCTACTTCTATAACATTTAATGTGTAGTATGTATGTCTTTCTGACAGGGCTCTATTTGTAGGTATATAATATAATTACAATATAACAAGTATTTGATATGGAGTGGAAATATTAGCATTTTTAATATGAATATGTTGATAGTTGCATACCTGTAAGGACAGAGTACTTGAAAGGCCAAACATGCTGTGGTTTTTATGATACCTTTGCCAAGGACCAATAAAAGGAACGAGGGGAAGTCATAGTAATTTAGACCACAGTGTTGTTATAAAGATGCAAACTCATTTTTCTTCCATTGTATACAACCTTTTAGTAAAATACAACTAGAAATAGGCCTGAGGTGGAATATGGATTTTCTATAATTGCCAAACAACTCAGACTACAGACCAGGGCTTTCCAGTTGCAGGTGTGATGTGGTGTGACAGATGCCCACATAAAATTCTTTTTTATTTTTTACAGAGACTATCAAAGTCTGAACTGTAGTTTGCCACTTGGGAAGCCCTGATGCATAATACACATCTCCTTCCAACATTCCTTCCAAACACTGCAGGGTAGTAGTAAACGAGGGATTTCGTAGTAATATTAATTTTCACTTTGTGTTGTGGCTTATGCCTGATTGAGCTGACTGTGTATTAAACTATCTTACCACTAAACTCTTAACCAATCCCCACAGAATGTGGTTCATATTAAACTATCTTACCACTAATCACTTAACCAATCCCCACAGAATGTGGTTCAAGTCACGTGTTGCAGTACAACAAAGGTGAAGCACGTGCATATATATTTTGTATTTCAACTGAAAAGCATTTGTTTATATGTTGTTAGCAAGGACTCCACCTACTTTTCTTTGGGTTTTTTACTTATATTTTTTGTTGTAGTGTTTACATTTCAATACTGAATAAATTAAAATAAAAGTTTGAATGAGGATTATCAAGAAGGGACTAAGTGATCTACTTATCTTAGAGTACTTTATCTGAATTTATGATTAAAAAACCTGTAAGGTGGGATACAATTTTTGTTTGGTAGGAAAGTGTTAAAATGCTGAGATGTGCTAGTGATAATTTGAAATTCTGCATTTAAGTTGTCATTTACCAAGTATCGAAACTAGTAACATGGCAAATACTATTCCAGCTTTATGTTGGTTGTGGGTTTTGATTCTCAACTTGACTGGTCTTTTGTATTTATCCTCGAGTCATGGCTGCTGTCTCTGATCTCTACTTCATTACCGTCACCTCCACAAAGTATAAGGCAAAACTGGAATGTTAAAGTACACAAATTCTGAATAATCCAGTATTATATTTTAAGCACAACAGAAATCCAAATTTGTATGTACAAATTAAAACTTGGCATATCTTAACTCTTTCATGAGCTAACCTTATTGTATGTTTTGGATTAAAGTGTATTAACCTTGTGAAGGAGAATGCAAACAGTGTAGTGAAGTATTTGCCAATAGTGAATAACCAGTTATAAATAATCAGTGTGTGCTTTTGTCATGACTTCAGTACTGTTGCCTGCATTCATTGCCTACTTAAATTCCCAAATGAATTAACCACTTGCAGAAGTTGTTAGATAATTATTTTTAGCCCTTATTGAAAATATATTTGATACTCGAATTCCTGGCAATGCCTTTTTATTTCTGATTATAAAGTTTTGTATTACAATTTATTAAATCTAGCCACATTCTGTAAGTAAGTGATCTATACTCTATACACACATTAATAGTCAAGTTACAGTAACACAAATATCTACATTGTCTCACTTTGTAACTCTAGTAAGTTGTGATCACATGTGGCTGTATTGACTGTCAGTGTTCCAGTTTATGGCGCAAAGTGGATCCATAAAGTTGAGGCCTGTGAAAAACATGTTGATCTGTATAAGTTGTCTGTCACGTGTATTGATATGTTGTAATCTGTCATGTATTTGAGGAAAAACGAGACATTTACGTTTTACATTAACATAGTTAAAAGTGAGACACTGAGGATTGTGTAGTTATACTGAAATGGATTTCATGCTTTAACTAAAATATTGTGTGATTAAAATGTAGTTTATTTTATCAAATTATAAAATAGAGCACCATGGTATGAAACAAAAAGGGGAGCTGTATGTAAATGTTTTTATTTACATAAAACAACTTTGGGACTTATGGAGGTGTACAGTTTCATCCAAAATGCAATTCCATTGATTCAGAAGTGTAATTTGTTTTGCATAAACATTGACACAGTGATGGTCAAATAAAAATACATTCCCACTTTCCTTCACTTATATATGCATGTGCTGTTATAGTAAATCTGATTGTTTAGCAAGTTCTGTAATTACCTAACTATAAAGTTTATGCAGCATTGAATGCCATTATGGCTGTTAAATTTGGAATGACCTACAAATGGTCATCATGTAGTTTGAAGGTACTGTGTGTGGGTACTGAGGAAAACCATAAAATCTCAGTATAGTAACTTTCCATGTCAAGATATGAACCCCAAACACCCTGATTACATTGGGGGACTAACCTCTGTAGTTGAATGTTTGGTTCTTTTAATTTGTCAGGTTGCACTACTTAGTGACATTAAATTACAGAAAAGTGCAGTGATGGTAAAATTATACAGATTGGGATTTTAGAGGAGGCTGTTGTCATATTTCAGAATATTGCCTGAACATCTGCCATATTTGCTGGAGCCAATCTGCAATTATCTTGATTGCATCTCTGTTGTTGGTCTCCAAGATCACATTAATGTATCGATTATTAGGGACTCTGGAGGTAGTAACAGGCTTCAAGAAAGCTGATTTAAAATTTTTCATTTGTTGTATTTAAATCCAATTACAAAGTGTGATTTGTAATCCCTTTATTGGTAAACCTGCAATCTTAAAGGGATCATGATGTAGCACATTATCATTCTCATAATGTATTTGCGGCAAAATTGTTAACACATTATATTTCTTTAACATGACATAATTTGTAATTAAGACAGAAGGGGAGGTTGAGTAACAGGAGTAATGTTTTGAGAAGCCAATTGTTAGTCTACTTCCCCACCTTTCATTGTGTCAAAAGTTTTATTACCATATTCATGAGATCCGGCCACCATTTTAATATCAATCTATGCCCAGTTCTTCCACGATTTCTTATAATTTGGAATGCATTTCTCATCTCGTGCATGTTACATGCCCTGCAAATTACACTCCTTGGTTTGAACAATATATTCGGTGAAAAGTACATATTATGAATCATGCACTCTGAATTTTGGTAATTACATGAACCAATTGAGCAGTTTTCTTCTTGGTGTTTATTGTTAATGTAATTAGTCATTACAACATGTACTAACCTTAGAAACACACAGCCTTTGTTGGGATTTCATTAGCACTCTGTTCTAACATGTTAAATAACTGCAAAACAAGTTCAAAGTACCAAAGAAGAAAACATTATTTAATGTTCTCAAGTAAATATCATAAGTACTGCATTTATGTCAGTCTGCTAAAGGATCAAGAGAAGTATCTACTTAAGAGAAAAGAAAAGTCATTAAAATACCATAAAAGTCATTAAAATATCACTGCATAAATTTATGTAAAACTTTTGTTCTCAGTGTCACCAGGCATTAATTAACCATTTCAGATTTCACAAGGTTTTAACCACAAATATTCACGCGTAACAAATTCAATCTGACATTTCCCAGTAGCCTGGCTTCGTAGGTAATTGAGCAGCTTAATGGTCTGTGACTAGTAATAATCATTGCTGCAATTACAATTACAATTTATACTTTCAAATGTCATCAACCCGTCCATCATTAGTTTCTATTATGGAAATACTCCGTTATTATAAGTATGCAATATTAACAAACTACTCCTTCAGCATTCTAAACATATACAAAAGGACACACAAATATTATATATCAAGTAGCAGTTAAAAGGAAATCCTATTTACCTAGGATTTTGAGCATCACAACCTAACCTTGAATTCTGTAGGGGTATCAAGGAACACACTGATACAAGGTAAAGGACAATGTGGGAATTAGTTTATTTAGTACCTCCCCTGATTTGATATCCTGTATGTGGTTCTGACGAATGTCTAATTGACGGAAATAACCTCAGGAAAAGAACTTGGCCATTACCCTCATTTGCTTTGAGGATCAGCACTGAAGAGATAACAGTGTATAAATGAGGGATGTTCTTTGTGCAAAATACAACATAAAATTTTTGTATTCTGTATGTTGGCAAACTACCAAATGTCAAAAACCTCTCAAGTCATCATGTTAAATGGAAATGTAACTGTGCAAAGTAAATTATGTCTAGGGAGAGATTATGAATTCCGTATGCCTATAAAGTTCATACGAAGTACACTTTTGTTTTATGAAGACGACAAATTGGAAAGCAAGGCAAAGGATCATATTTCACATTATTAATACGTACTCTTGCAGTTAAAAGCTTCAGACAATATAAAATCAAAGAAATGTATTCTGATCTATGTAACCTCAATTAGGAGAATGGTGCAAGTGAATATTTCTTTTTAGCAATCTTCCTTGTCAAATATGAGTTAAAAATGGCTCAGTCACTTTCTAACAAGCTGACATACAGATTCATTTCACTTCTAACAGTGGTGGGGGTGGCCATGGTCAGTTGCTTTCCCCTGTATTTGAGTTTGTCTTCTCATATTCATAATGGAAATGACAAAGCCTTTGAGAAAATGTCTCCACGCGAGTGACGGTTGTATCGAATCAGAACTACGTCTAGAATCAGATTCAGAAGAGGAGCTTGCAGGAGATGAGGAGCCACTGGTTTTTCAGATTCAAAAGAGCATACAAATGGTAATATATGGAAAACAGGAAGTGATAGTAGACTCGTTTCAGCATTTACAGGTCCTAATGTCAGGTTGGACTGTAATGCTGTGCCAAATATCAAAGATGATTCTACTCCCCTAGGATACTGTGAACTCTTCTACATTGTTAGTGGAGGAAATGAACTTGTACTGCCACCAGGCAGCAGAAAGCCCACTACCACACGGCACAACATATCTTCTGGGATTTTTATTCAGGTTTTAGGTTTTCATGTTTCTCACAGATGAATAGTGACGAGGAGTATATATACCTAGCTTGGACTTCAGTAGGTGTCCAGGCATGGAGGCTAGTTCCTTCTTAAGGCCCTCACAGAGTAGGAGACCTTTTGTTTCTCTTTTCTTACCTGGTGATGGAGGCAGATCCAGTCCCAGAGACATTATGTCCGATTACTTTGTGGAAGGGACCTGTTTTGTAGCTCTAAAACTTGTGATCTTCATTCTGCAGCCCCGCTTCACAGCAGATATGAGTATGTGCAGACATTATAAAATAACTAGAAACATTATGGTCAATACTGCATGATTTGGCAGTTGTAACATTTCGATTGTTCTAAATTTGGGAAAATACTACGCGGTGGGAGACCAGAACCAAACTTCTTGAACAGGCCAGTTAACTAACGTTGATTCTAACAAATTTTGATTCATTGTGGGGAGAAAATAAAACAAGACTGAAAATATTACACAAGTAGGTAAAATATGTAAGTACCTAAAGCTACCCAGTGACTAGCATAACTAAGAATTGACCACTTTGCCAAGGTATGGGCATAGTTGTAGCCCTCTTCCTGGAGTTTTGATGACATGTCAAACATAACACCCAAGTAGGACAGATGGAACATCACAACGAGACCAAGACCCACGTTGCCAAGCACAACTGTCCAGCACTTCTCCTTACTGTGATGGGAACAGTCCCTCCGACAAGGACGTACCTGAATGCAGGCACCAAATACAACAGAAAGCTTCTGGCGCAAAACATATTCCACGTAAGTATATGCTCCAAGTGACAGTAAAACAGCTGCCAGCTGAAAGTTCAGTCCATGAAGCAGGGAACTCACAGCATACGTGGACAGAATGGCTGCGAAGCTGCCCAGTGGCTTCGTCGTTCGGAACACATCTAGAAAGGGTATGTAGGCAAGATATTTAAAAAAACACTCTGTTTTAACCTCCAATATGTATTTATCAATGTACTGCGGGGCATCAACCTCACCACGCAAGGTCTGACGGATAACATGACATGATTTAGCTTTGTGTCAAACTGCTGCCGTAAGTTTCACGTTTGCATAGAATTTGCTTGTTTGGAGGGAAAACACAGATGAAAGATCCAGATATCTGACAACTTCAGGAACTGTGTCAAATGCAGAAAAAATGACTGAAATGGTGAGAAATGACGAGCAATTAACTGTTCGGAAGCACATTAGTATAAGAAATGTGAGACTGATTAAAACTAAAATGCAGTGCCAAAATTTTACCCAAAAATATTGACAGTGAGCAAAAATTTAAAAGAAAAATTTGCTCAGACCTTCCAGCAAAATCACTCGTAGAACCTAACCTTTTAGTCAAAATCAAGGTTACAACTATATTTACTCGTGTATAACATATAGTTTCAATATTAAAATTAGGATGTGTGAATACACAAAATGCATTTGAAGGGTGGGAAGGAAGTGGTTCTTTTTTTCACACGTGTGCGCAAAGCAATCGACATACTTACAATTCTTGAGCCAACTGTGCATGGGCACATTCCAGTAGACAACAACTTGGACCAAGGAACGCGGAATCTCTATAAACTGTGGTCGTGCAACAGACAGACCCCACGGTTCATCTTCGTGGTGTCCAAACCCAGACATAAGTGCTGATGCTTCTGACAAGAAGGATACAAAGTAATGACTCGATCGAAATGAGAGAGCATCCCGATATGCTATCCACCACCTGCGTGAAACATGTACCAACAGAAACTTTAGTATGAATTTATTTCCTTGGTAAACCAAGCATATACTAATTTATACTATACATTTTTAAATAGTTTATAAAATGTTAGAATTTTAAAACACTTTTAATATACATGTTGGCACAAGTAGAATCGTTATCAGGTAAGAGTGTATCTAATTTTGGTATATGTTTGCGTATTTACAGATATATTTATTTTTACTATTTTAATTACAATACATAAGAAAACAACTTCAGAATTTTCAGAAAGAACATAAATCTCAAGATCATATATGTAATGGAATGTAATATAGACGGATGAATGGACGGACACGCGGGGTTCGATCTACGACGGGGGCAGAGGATCTTTACTCTAGCCCCTGCGTCCAGACCAGTTCTAGGGCCTACCCAGCCTCCTATCCCATGGGTACCATGTTCCTTTCCTGGGGGTAAAGTGTGGCTAGGACATGACGCTGACCACTCACTCCCATCTAGTGCCTAGGTCTAGAATAAGTAGGAGCTATACTCCTCTCCCCCCCAAGCGCCTACATGGTGTGTAGTGGGACAGCTTTATTTTACTTTCAATTTATTTATTTATTTATACCTATAATATGTCTCTTCATATTTGTATTAGAAAGGTGAACAAATATATTATAATAAATGTTTACTAAAAGTCTCATCAGAAACCAAAACAGATTAATCATATACTTTATGTATCTTGATAAATACTATGCTGATTTAGCATAAAATTTGGTTAATAATATCAGGGAAATGAAGATGGCAGAGTGTGACTTCTGAAGGCCGGAAAGGAAGAAGTCCTGATCTCCTTTTAACACTTTTTGATCGTATCATGAATGACTGAGGAAGACAAGAAGCGCTGTACTACAAGCTTACCTCCAAGCTCCATCTGGTATGAGCCAGTAAACCCAACACGTTGATACGGTTAGGAACAGAAATGCCAGTAACACACTTGTAAAGATCCTCCACAGCCACTTTGTGTCCTAGAACGCAACAGTACTAATATAAACTGTGTAAATAATAAATAAATAACTAAAATGAATATGTAAATAGAAAGCATATACATACACGCGTAAGTTCCGTGAGATTTGAGGTTCTCACGGCAATGAAGAAGATATCCGTACGGTGTCACAACCCAGAACAAATGCAAGTTCCTTTTGTGCTTATGGCAATGTCATGTCCTGTGAGGTTACATTTGCCAAAGAAATGGAAAAAAAGCCATTACTAGCCCAGGTCTATGTACTTATTTATGAAAATGTTTCTGGCATGTAAAGGTCTGAGAACCAACAACTGTTGTTAGATAAATAAAAGCAAATATAACACATTTTGGTATCTAGAATATTTAACGACACTGCTTTGAATGCATTGGTTATATACGTGCAAACGAAATGGGAAAATTATGAATGGAGATTAAGAAAAGGATATGGAAGGAGGTGGTCACAACTTATTTGAAGGTACTTATTCTAGCATTTTCATGAATAGACTGAGGACAACCACAAAGAACCATGACTGTGAGGCTACACACAACTTAGATTCAAAACAGTTGCTTCGAATAAAGTCCAAAGTCCCTCGAATGGACATAATTTGTGATTTATAATAATATTCCGATGCAAGGCCACGATCAGACACTGGTTGGTCTAACAAAGAAGTTGACAGCTTTCAAAGGAAAGCTGAAATTGTGAGAGGAAAATGGAAGGAAACAAATTTGCTTCTTTTCCTACATTGAACTTTCTTTCGGAAGATGAAAATGTTGAATTTTCTGAGGTAAAAATATTATCATGGAACATTTGGAAGAACTAAATCTTGACTTTGACTGTTATATCCTGGAGGACGTGACTAAATACAACTTGGTGCATGGCCCATTTGACATCGGCATCAAAGACTTGGCCGATGAAATTTCAAGCACTGCTGACCTTGGAAAAGCAGCTTATTGAGATCCAAAATGATGAGACTCCAAGGTACAATTTTCAAAAACAAAGGAAATCACTGAGTGTGTTCTGGATCAAAGCGGCAAAAGAAAACCAATTCTGGGAAATGAGGTTCTTAAAAGTTTTACTATCCTTTTCTAAAATCTACTTGTGCAAAAGCAGGTTGTTAAACACTTTACATCACAAAACCTAAGCTCCAAAGCCAACTACAAGCAGAGCGTGACTTCAGACGAAGCATTTCATGTGCGTGACCACGATTTGACGAGCTTCTGAAGCTTCTGCAAAGTCAAGGTTCTCATTAATATACAGACAACTGTTTTAATTTTGTGCTGTTCTTCCAACATTTATGCTTTTACAAAACTACTGAGAACTACCAGCTAATAAATAAATTATTAATCATATTATTTTGTGTCAATTACATTTTAATAACAATATACTTTATTTGTTGACAAGAGTAAAGTTATTAACAGGAAATGCATTATTAATTCAAAATTGATCCACGGGTTATAGAACTGATTCCCGAACTTAATGTGGATCCTGGCCAAGAAAGGTTAAGAACCCTTACCATACATGTTGCGATGCTTACCCAAAGAGGTTTATTGAAGATGGATATGTAGTCCCTGTATGGTACCCAAGGACCAAAGACACATGTTCCAACACAAAGAACATAGCCCGTGAATTCAGCGGGAGAAGGAAGACACTGCAGAGCCCCAAAGTCAGTATCAAAAGCAATTGAGATCACCTTCATCGCTACAAGCATCTGAGCACCACGGATTTTGTGCCATTCTGTTTTATTTACAAAACACAATTCACTAGAAAAAATAAAGAGATACATCCATTAGGTGACTTAATATTGCCAGAAGTTCCAGTGTTCTACTTTAAAACCAATTCCATGGTACATATTCTCAATCTCTTAATTATATTTCAAGAACAAAAAATGCGAAAATGATCAACCTGCTATCAGTTGTTATTTGTGATACAAATATCAAAACATGAGTGTTTTATACAGTGCATGAAGTTTCAATAAACTCATATGAATTCAATTAATGTGATTGGAATTTATGATAACAAAATTAAGAGGATGCGTTTATATACAGGAAGATCGTAGTTTATCCCAAATGAATCCAGCGTAACTGACGGGAAGGGCACGTGATCTACCTGGCACATGTGCAAACATACAAAACATTCATGTCTGTATGAAATGGGGGCTTTGTTCATGTGTTGCAATTTTCAAATGATAGCATCACTCACCATACAATAAGAAACACAATTGATGCCAATCCTAAGATCGGGCCCCTGTGTTTCTTCAAGAGGCAGGAGACTAGGAACAGACACAAGTACGCCCCAACTGCAAACCCCACGATGTAGTACATGGTGGACCGAAAGAAATGATGAAGTATCAGCAAGCCTGTACCAGAAGAAATGATGTGGCACAGCAATGTAGGGACGGTAACTGTAAAAATAAAGTTCACATCAGCTGCCGGTACTTAATATCAGTAAGTTCTAATAGTTGTGCAGTGCTGGACCCCGTATCTGGCATCCCAAAATATGGAAGGACCTAACATCTGTATTTTTCCAGTGGTATTTTCCTACATGTCATGTTTATAAATGGTGCCTCGTGGTTCTTTGAGTCACCACCATGTATGAGTGGTGCCACTATCAATGGTCATCTTATTGCTATACAGACTGACACAAATAATGACAGTTGGCGCAGAGACATATTTTTTTTACAAATGTCTGCTTTTTAACCCTAGACATCATCAATTCTCTGAAGCTGAATGGTTCACAAGGCACATGACAGCAGGTGCGAAGAAACGTCTGAAACTCGTCTGCCATCATTCGTGTCAACCGATTTAGCAGAAGGCAGCTTGGTTGTTTGCATTTTTGGAATCAATGGAGGGCATATGTCGTGGGCTTTTATGTGTTTTTTAGACGATGAGATACCACCTCAGAATTGAGGTTTTTCTATTTCTCATGAAAAACAAAATATGAATTGCGGATAAAGAATACCTGAACATATAATTTTTATTATTTATTTTGTATGTATTAAGATTCCTCCGTTTTAAGATTCAAAATCTAGAAAATCTAAAAAGCCCAAGGTCCTACTCTTTCCAGATAAGAGGTCTGGCACTGTATGTCAATCAGAGAACTTTTTACAGGGCCTAGTCTAGCTTCATTTTGATTTCACAGAATCATCAAATTACAAGATACCGCATTATTATTTTGGTGCTGTGTATGTAACACAATTATATGACAGTGTAGTTGATATGTGTGCCTGTAACTGGCCTGCGTTATAGTGAAAGGTCTGACACCAAGCTCTAAGCCTACAAGATACCTTTGTTTACATCCTCACACTCCAGAAACTTATCTATCTTTTTAGAATTGGAAAACAAGCTGTTTACAACAGAAATCAATATACTCACTTTTACCACATCACTTCTACTTTCCAGGCATCTTTACTTGAAATTTCTGAACAGACAAAAAGAATAATCTATTTAACCAAGTTTAACAAATATTTAGCAGTTTCCAGGTGTGCTTTAAGCATGGAAACTTGGAACTTCAGGTCTCTATTATTTATTAGGACTTTATTTAAAGCTTTGAAGCTTAAGCTTGTTAATATAATACTTAATAATTCAGTCTGTACCACAAAGAAAACAAATCTTCACCATTAGAAAGATAAATTACTTAATACTGTTTAAGAAAATAACTGCTGTTTATACTGAGAAAAATATGAAACCCATAAATACAAAATTAAATGTTATTGATTCTTAAAGCAGGTGGCGTGTATGGTTACCACTCGGCTTCAAGGATTAATGATGCCTTCAGTACCACAAAACATATAGCATTAAATGACAGAATGATAAGTGGATAAAGACATGGCAGCAAATGGTCATGACCTAATTTAAGTCACTTGCCTGAAGGGACTGAGGACAATCATGAAACGTGTCAGTCAGACACAAGATCTCTCAAATGTGAGGAAGGAGTGCTAATTACCTGATCATGCTTGATAATGAAAGTCTTGCCAGATAATCTGGGAGTAATAAGTTAATGACATTGTACACTCATGTCAAATTAGTTTGTTATGAAGTGGATTATTAGTAGGACCAAATAAAGGGGAATGAGATGGGACAGATGAGAAATGCAAAAAGAATCTTGGTCTGAAAACCTGGGAAACTTTGACACACATGGAAGAACAGGGTTTGAAGATGTGGATATGATTCATCTGGATTTTGTAGGGTTCAGTGGCAGACTCCTGTTATAAACATCCAGGTTTCATAAAAGGTGGGCACTCCTAATTAGCTAAGGAACTATTAGCTTCTGAATGACTCTGACTCATGGCCTTACTTTGTTACTAACCCTTTAAAAAACAAACTTTCCTCAAAAAAATATTTAATAGTGTGGTTTCTACTTCAATAAAAACATGATGCATCACCATTATAAAATTTAGTCTTTTAGCGATGATTAGGAGAAGTTTCAATATTTATTCTGAGAATCAAATGAGACCGATATGGTGACTTCGTGAATGACATGCTGACTTACTGAATGTTAAAGATGGCGGTACACACTGTTACCAACACCCTATGAAATGTTAATGGGGTGAGGAGGAGGCACTTGAAACCTCACCTATCTGAGTTGAGGCCCTAAAGAGGAAGCACCACAAAAGCAGCTTCCCCACATGACTCAGCCCATCTTGAACAGTGGGCTCAATGCAGAGTTCCAGCAGCTCACTGACCTTCACGCCCTCATCCACGTCTTCTTCATACCACAAATTTGCACCAGGCATGTATGAATCATCATACATGGGAGACATCTCCTCCATGTCATCAAAGAGATCATAGTCAAAATCATTCATGGCGATGCATGATTACACCTGCAGGGCAAATGTGTAAATAAAATCTCATGTCATCTGTGTAACAAGTCAGCCAAACTGAGGACCTGTGTACGCAAGTAAGAAATTACTCGGCTGATACATGTGCGATGTTTCATGTCCGTAACTGTCAAGTGTATCATAAATACCCTTTTGCTGTCCTATTTGCTTAATTCCTCCCAGAAGATAACTCCGTATGACATGATGTAATGGAAATATATAAACAAATTTTATAGTATCTATTTTTAACAGCGGTGTGACTGTCCTCGTGGCAGAGCACGCTGAACTTAGTTTGGAGATAATATATTGAATGTGCATTTTACATTTGTATACCAAGGAACTTAGTTGTTAACACTTATCATCATAATCTATATAAAAATGGACACTTGTTTTTTATAAATCATATATCAGGAAAGCGGGGAACCAGATATTAACCTTGACAAACCCCCGTGTTTTACAATGCGTCAGTCTGAGTATGTGTTATAATTTGAATTGGGAGATAAATTTATATTCTTTGTTTTTTGTCATTAAGCTGTGATTGAAATCATTGCCTAGCTTTACCCTGACTTAAAAAAATTTGGTATCAATAGAAATATGTCATGATTTATACAATCAAATGCTTCACTCACATTTGTGTTCCATAATTATGTATAACATGTTATACTTCATGACTTTAACACCAAGATATCCAAACAACAAAATACAGACAGCTTATATGATAGACTTTAATCATTCATAGCCAACTGCTGAAAAGAAACTGACACAGTTCACCATCATCATCATCTGAACTACAAAGACTTAAAACTGTTGGCATCCCAAGAATTTACATCACCCAAAAAGTCTCAACTATTGTAAATATGTGCAAGTAATAATGGTGATGGTTTCTCATCATAATTATTTTGCTGTAATACCGTAGTTTAAAAGAATTGTATATAGATATTATAACTATGTATTTATATTTGTACTAGAAACAAGTATTGTATTTGTGCTATGACCTGTTCCACATCCTTGACTTAGGCCTATGAAAGATCTATGGAATGTAAATAAAATCTATTCTACTCTTCTTAAATTGTAGCTACTACGTTGAGTCTAACACCTAGGAAATAAAAGTGTACTAAAAAATTGTATAATTCACAATAAAGTTCTATTTCACACTACTCAAATAACACTCACTCACCTTCTGCAGGTAATACAAAGATTTCAATTTGAAGTTGAATCTCGCTCAATAGGGGCCACGAATAGTGGCACTTTTATCAACAGTTCACAGCTTCAGGCCATGTCAGTACCACAAATTAAACCCTTTCTCCAATAGACAACTTATAAATTACACATTACATAAATAACGAAGTTTTATGTACACACATTAGGGAAGAACAATTTTCCCCCCAAAATATTAATAAAAAAATCACAACGCGTACCACCGTTATCAAATGGTGCCAATATTTGACAACTGCAATGGATTTTTTGATAAATACGTGGAATGAAGACAGTTCAATTGATGCGGTATACAGTAAATGTCAAACCACATGACGACAAACTACAACATAATTGTATTGGAAAATCTACAAATAAATCAAAGTATATTTCAAAGAGAAACATACTTAAAATTGTTATTACTAAGCTGTAAAAGGAATTTCTTAGGATGGTTATTATTCTTACAGTTTACAAACAAAACAAGACTTCTGTTTTCACCATCGAAAACCTACATTAGATCGAGACATCGAAATCAGTGACAGAAATTACCAACATACAAATCGATAACTCTCTTCTAATAGTTGGCAACGTCCTTACTCTGCCATCTATTATTCATTCATTTGTAACACGACGTCGTAGAGGGTTCGACAGCAGTGTTCAGTGGGTAAAAGGATGCCCGCTATTAAACCTACACAGTTCTACAAACGTAATTGATAAATTACTCATTATTTTGTTCAGTTCTTGGAAGACAATTTTGCAGAAACCCTTCAACGTTGATTTTATAAAGTATTTTTTAATATTTGCATGTCTCTCACATTTCTGTAGTGACACAACATTCAATATTCCATAACATTTCCTACTTTTCATAATCTCCAAAAATGAGCAATGTCGTCATAAATCCTCTTTAACACTCGTATGGCGAAAGTTAATATTCCCGAATTTTGTTAACAAAAACAAACAGCAGACTTACAATTGCTTCTAAGCAATACAAGTGGAAGACAAACAACTGTTTTCATTCATTCCAATAAATGCGGAGTTTAATAGCAAACAGTTGAATTTGTTTCTATTTTACTTGAAATACTCTTTCTAGCAAACTTAAAACAAAATTGAAACCGAGTTCATATCAGTACAAAGTACGCTGAACGGTATTTTCAAAATCGAATTTTGTACGCACTAGTAATTTCGATTCTTCGAATACCAATTTCTTCCATAAAAATTAAAATTCTTTGTCTTCTAAACTGCTTCATGCTTGTTTTACAGAATAATTTTTTAACTGAGGACCTCATTTTGGAATTGGCAGTAGTCGAATTCAGCGAATTAAAGTGCCTATTATCAGAAATAAATGCAGTTACTGAACTAACACATAAAATGTTTGTAGAATATTTTGCGAACACAGGCTATTTTTAATTTATAAGAATATAACAAAGAATTATTCCCTGGGGGCAGTTTGTTTCAGTTTTATGAGAAGTCTGTCGGTAAGATTTAAAATTAATTAAACTTTTTTACTCCCAAAGTTGATAATATTTTCGGTGATTCGAGAAAAGTTTTCGTTTAGAAACTTTCTGCCTTCTTCCAACATCTATGTAGTGCTAAAATTCGCGGACGCTCTACCAAATAAAATGTTCACGTCTGTCACGTGTAATCTGAACCAAATCGATACTCAACAGCTTTCGTTCTCTATAATACGCTGATACTGCCAGTTGACTGGAAATGACTATTGTCTGTAAGCGTATTATTGTGTACAAATATATGTTAATGTAGTTAAAATATCATACTTTGGATAAGAACATGCTAATTTACGTTTATCGCGTGAATATGTATCATCTGTTACACCACCGATAATCAGATATCTATAGTAATAGATAATCAGCTGACCTTTGTAATGGAGACGCGTTGCGTTTTCTTTGAGGTAAGGGCTCGATTTTGTCGTATATTATTTTAATGAGTTCCAGGCTTTAAATGGTTTAAGGTAACGTGTGCCTTGCGGATCCTCAGTTGTATATGTGGTTTTCATATGTGGGTGCGTAAGAAGATACGCACGCACGCAGCAATAGCATGATCGACGCATTGGGATCTGCAATGCGTTGCGCATGCGCACTACAATTTGGCAACGCAAACGATGGAAATTGCAATAGAGTCTTTTGAGGGCAAGAAAAATAATATACAGAGACTATCGACTATTATGCAGTAGCGTCTTGAAGACTGTGTCTATCTGGACATTCAGGTCATTCTATACAGTTGTATGGATCAACCCTCGACATCATTTATCCGACAATGTAATAAAACGTCTTCTTTGCAAGGAGTGGTACAATTTTTCAGAACGCCAAACAAAAAATCAGTACTGGGAAGGAAAAATGTACTTCCTGCAACGCTTAATATGAAAGTCTGTCAACAAAGTGTAACTCGGTAAAACAGCGTATGGTTTGAAAGTTCTTGGTTCGAATGTCGGCGAGAATCTTTTTGGGTGTTTCCTTCTGTCTCCAGCAACTTTCGACGTGGCTCGTCTACGGAGGACGAGGTTGTGCCGAGATGTTTCCGAACATCCACGACGCACTTTTTATATTTGACCTTCGAAACGGCTGATCGAATATGAGTACAAAATCTATTCTAGAAGTTGACAGTCGGTTTAAGTTTGGTTCGTTTTCGACAAATATAAATCTTACTTTGGTTTCGCAATTAACAGAGTCATTATATACAATGGATCTCAGAGAACATGCTGTCTTTTATGTGCAAACACGGCTGTATGAGACAATAAATTTAAGTTTTAATTATTTATTTGTGGTTTATTAAAAACGCAGTAATTAACTCAGATAACACAGCGTCAAAGATAGAATGTAAGGATATGAAAACAAATGGTCGTGGTCGAATTTAAGGTACTACACCGGAATTTGCCTGTGGGAACTAAGGAAAAACTACAAACAACTTCGTTCCGAGTTTCAATTCTCCGAATGATGATATTTCATTCGAGACGTAAAGAACACATAGCAGAAATGCCAGCCATTGCCAATGAAATGCAACAGAAAGGCTGTAGAACATCTCACTTACATAGTATAGGCCTATAACGAAAATTACACTGAGTAGTGCGATGTTAGATTTAGTCTACAGTTTACAGTTCATATTAGAATAATTTCTTGATCTAAAGAAACCCTCTTCCATTCCTAGTTGTAGTTTCAAATGTGTTGTGGAGCATTTTCTTCGTTTTGCTGTAGGCTACCACCATCTACTGTTAATTGACTGTATTGCGTTGAGTCGTGATTCGCTTGTTTTCATTTCCTAAAAACGACGGACAGGTGGAACTAGTGTCGGTTAGTGAGATCAAATTTAATGAGTGGGCAGTATAAGCAGCTAGTGTTTTGCCACGCGGGTATTTGTTGGTGTGTGTGTGTGTGTGTGATATTTCCGCAGTGAACCGAGTGATTTTAACTATTGTGTTGTTGGTGGGCTTTGGTTAATTCAGTGATGGACCTTCGGGTTCAGTAAGCCATGTAGTTTGTTAGTTCTTGGTGGTGTGAATTTGAAATTGGTTAAATTGACAACCGAGGGAGATGACGAAACCGCAACTCATTTCCTACAGCCATCCACAAGGTAAGAACTGCACAAGATATGCATGTAATAAACAGACAGAAACGTTAACAGCTGCACAGAGCAATGTCAACTCTTACGAGTGAAACAAATTGTTGCTGAAATGTTTGAAAGATTTTTGTTTCCTTGGAATACGGTTATGGTGAGTTTACAACCTCGTTGAGGGTCTTGCCTTCAGTTTTTTCGTAATGACTCACCACCTTTTCGTTCTGATCTCAGTACCCCCCCTTACTCCTCAAGCCCACATTATAACATTGTTACCAACACATTAATACATAATGTTAAAAATAAAGCTTTGTGTTACTATAACGTTTTGTTATAAAGCGAAACTTTTCTGTCTGTCAAGACAAGCTTTCCACAAATATTTAATTAAGTGAAAAGAGAAGACTGTTGTCATTGTAATAATCTCTAGAATGGTTAAGTTAATGGTAATGATACTGTCTATGAGAATATGACGTCATTAAGTAACATTTTAAAAATGGATTGCAGAAAAGTAGAAGGTTTATCGAAATTACAATAGTTATAAAATATGTAAGGAAATTTGTTGTATTTTCTATCTCGTACGGTTATGGTGAGTGAACAACCACGTTGAATGATACTGTTTATTAAGGGTCTTTCCTTCATTGGAAATGTAGTTTAGAAATGCTGTCCATATTGTCCTCCGTTTTTTTCCGTAGTGACTCACCACCTTTTCGTTCTGATCTCAGTAACCCCCCCCCCCACTCATTCGGGCCTCATAATAATATCAAGTGTTACCAACACATTTACACATAATGTTAAAAATAAAGTTTTGTATTACTGAAACGTTTTGTTATAAAATGAAACTTTTCTGTCTGTCAAGACAAGCTTTCCACAAATATATAATTAAGTGAAAAGAGAAGACTGTTGCTATTGTAATAATCCCTAGAATGGTTAAGTTAATGGTAATGATACTGTCTATGAGAATATGACGTCATTAAGTAACATTTTTAAAATACATTGCAAAAAAGTAGAAGTTTTATCGAAATTACAATAGTTATAAAATATGTAAGGAAATTTGTTGTATTTTCTATCTCGTACGGTTATAGTGACTGAACAACCACGTTGAATGATACTGTTTATTAAGGGTCTTTCGTTCATTGGAAATTCTGTAGTTTCGAAATGTTATCCATTTTGTCTTCCCTTCGTTTTTTTACGCACTGACTCACCACCTTTTCGTTCTGATCTCAGTATCCCCCCTTACTCTTCAAGCCCATATTATAACATTGTTACCAACACATTAATACATAATGTTAAAAATAAAGCTTTGTGTTACTATAACGTTTTGTTATAAAGCGAAACTTTTCTGTCTGTCAAGACAAGCTTTCCACAAATATATAATTAAGTGAAAAGAGAAGACTGTTGCTATTGTAATAATCCCTAGAATGGTTAAGTTAATGGTAATGATACTGTCTATGAGAATATGACGTCTTTAAGGAACATTTTTAAAATGGATTGCAGAAAAGTAGAAGGTTTATCGAATTTACAATATTTATAAAATATGTCTGAACATCTGTTTTACTTTCTGTCTCGTACGGTTATGGTGAGTGAACAACCATGCCGAGAAATGCTGTTTGTTGAGGGTCTTGCCGTCATTGGAAATGCTATTCATTTCCTCTTGGCTTCATTTTTTCCGTATTGACTCACCACCTTTTCGTTCTGATCTCAGTAACCCCCCCCCCCCCCTTATCCTCCCGGCTTCATTATAACAATAAGTGTTACCAACACATTAATACGTAATGTTAAGAATAAGCTAACATCTTGTTACAAAGCGACAATTTTCTGTCTATCAAGAAAAGATTTCCACATATTTTTAAAATGAATCTCAGAAAAGTAGAAGGTTGATCCTAATTACAATATTTATGAAATAAGTAAGGACATTTGTTGTACTTTCTGTCTCGTTTATT